CTTTTTAAACTTTTTACGAGAAATGGCCCGGCAATATTCGTAATTTATATGGTGGCACTGTAATTTACCAAATGTCTATCAACCCGCAAAATAATACTTCCAACATATTTTGTTGGTATCGCATTTTCTTTTATATTGAAATTGGTTCTAACAAGCATGTGCCGCGGACATATTTACACAGGACTTAAAGGCCTTTTACAAAAAAAAACGAAAGTACTAACATTCACGATTAATTAATATGTGCCTATCTATAATATTATGTATTCCAAAATTTAATGATTATTTACTTCTTTAATTTTTTTATAAAATGGTACAAAATAACTTTAATTTAAAAATCGTCTCTGTCAACACTAAAAATCAATATTTTTCGAAACATAACGATAAAATATAAAAGCTCTTACGGCAAAAGGTTTCTAAATTATTCAAAACAAGCCACGCCTATGGCCTGCAGTGGTTTTGTGGGCCTCTGATTGGTTGAGACACTGCGCCCGCGCATGCTATCATATTCAATGCATTTTATGAACCCAATTATTTTTTTAATAATATTTTAACCTTGTTCTTGTAGATATCTAGTTATTTACACGTGTAATACCTACAACATTCAATGAAACACTGTTAAGTTAAAAAAAAACGATATATATTAGTGATTTTTTTAACTAAGATAAATTAAAGTAAAAATAAGTTAACAAATATATTTTGCGTTTTAAACAGATAAGTAGTTATAATTATATTTTTAACAAATGCTTCAAGAACTCTAAACCTTGAAAGATATTTAAAATTTATTAAATGGTCGACATCTCATAAAACATTAATATCTAACTTTTGTAATCTTAATACAAATAATAAAGAATATGCAAGCACCCCTTAACATCCAATTAGAATTTATAGTCAAACATTTTTTTTTGCGTTAGGAAATCCACAGATTAAACTGAAACGTGAAACACATTTTCCATCTATTCATTACGTTGAGAAATTAAATACCTAGTAGAAACATAGAGCGATAAAATATCAATATTTATTGAACTTGGTGTATTCTAACGAAGGGCCACTTAAGGCCAATTAAGAACAAATAACATAGCACCATGTTTGTTTATATTTTTTCACAATTTCCCGGAAATTTTATTTAAAATCAATAAATAGGAATAACATTATGCAATTTGGGTGAATACTATATGGTATTCCATACAAGATTCTTTCAGTATTTTTTCAGTGTTGGTTTTGGTTTTCAGCACGCATTTTATTTATCCACAGAATGTTAATTATCATTATAGCACGGAACTGCTGCAGCTGTGGATGCCGCTTCAAGTCCTGGCCGTGTCGTAATTAAAAAAAATAATAATTTGACTTTCAATTAATTATTGCTGTAATGGATTATTTCGTAATCTAAAGAAGTTATTTCCCTTTGTGAAGGAAATATGTAAGAAATTACTGTGTTTAGATTCTAGAACTTATTCAAAGACAAAATTTGTGAAATTTAAACTCCGTGATTTATATATTTAAACTATGACCGTTGTTTTAAATTATAGAGGTAAGATTACATTATCACGAATAAATACACAATAACTTTGTCAGTACCATATTTTATTGTGCTATGCATGAAACTATTTTTAAATTTGCACTCAATATCTAGTAATGCTCGTCGATGACAGATGTACTTAAAGTAAAGCGCTCAAGTCATATTTTATTTCTAATGGGAAATCGACATAGGTGTTAAGTTAATGGAGTTATAAACACATTATGAATATTTGTTATCAATGATTCATTCTTATATTTATGTTTTTGCTTTAGATTATTGTGTAATCTATCTGGTAATATTTTAGTTATGTAATGATTTCATATTCAATAAAATATTTAACTAAATGTCAGTTTCATTTAATATGTTACACACATCTACCAAATATATACGTGAATTCTTTTAAGACTTTTAAATAAAACACTTTAACGGTTTAAAACGCGAATATTGTTAAACTTTTTGAAAATGATTTTTAATTCGGCCCGTTCTTTTAAGACTGCCTAATAGGTTCTACCTACTTATCCTACTCTTTAATTAGAATCTCTTGTACTTACATGTTGTGTATACTTTTACGATTATTCGAATTCAATTTTAATTCGAACCGATTCATAATTCTATTCGAATTAAAAATCGATTTTAGATTGAAAATATTTTACGACAAAGGCGGGACTTGAACCGGCATCCACAGCGTTCTGTGCTGTTTCCCTAACCAATTGAGCTAGCATGTTAAAAAAATTTCAACCTAGTTGAAGTCCTGTTCGTATTGTAATTTTTGTCAATCTAAAATCGATTTTTTGACTTTGTATGAAATTTAAATTTATCTTCTAACAAGAGATAGGTTTATTGTATTTATGCAGTCAGTATCTTTATCTTTGATCATATTCGATGGCTTCGATTAAACCTATCGAATCGTTTCGGTTTGTTTTATTCGACCCTACTAATACTTTCTTTGCTTTTCTAAATGCGAGTTCACACCAAACACATACTTACAGCCAGCAATCAAATCTTGGGATCCATCGTATTATTTTATTTGGTTTAGTTCATAGCTTGGCTAAATTAGACCAGCTTCATATTTGATATCCAACCAACTAGATATACACCGAATGTAAGGCACTTGGTTCAAAGTGTCATCGAGTTGTGTACTAAATGCAAAACAGTGAAGCGTTTGAGAGGGCAGCTCCGGATATTAAAACCGATTTGAATATTATTGCCTCTACGAGTGTTTGAACTGTTTCTAGAGAACGCATATTGGTTATTGTTACAAAATACGACGTACATTTTTATTATTAATTAGCTATAGGTTTTATGTCAAATAGGACAACATTAACAGAGAATATTAAGTTAAAGCTTAAAGTTAATTTGTATGTTTGATGCGAGTACTACACATTTAAAAAATCACTTTATTTAAATTAACTTTTTTGTGTTACGGTTTAGAATCGAAAAGATTAGTTAGGCTTATTTAAAACTATTTTTACTACGGCGACCGACTTGGTGGGCTGCAAAAATGTTTTATTTAAATTAGTAACTTTCTTTATATTGGGCAGAAATAGTGCTGACAATGGTTTTGAACGTTCGATTTTGTAATATGTTAAAATTTATCTATATTTATATTATAAAGGGCTGAAGAGTTAGTTTCGTTGTTAGCACTGTAATTCGGCTAATATTCAGAAACTCCTGGGTCAATTTAATTTTCTGTTCGGGTCTAATTAGTTTGTTACCTGTTTTTGAACACATCATAGGATGGAAAATATGTTTATTAAAGGGGTGTTTGTAATATTGATATTACGTCTAGATTACGCATCACGATCTACAGATAAAAATAAATGCGAAGTTAATTTGGCCTCTCAGTTGTAATCCATAGGTTAAGTCAACCGATAAGTTAACGATACATCTGAGTAAAGGGCATACACTTCATGAAAGACCATGCTCGTCTATGTTTCTCTATCGGAAAAGAAAAGTTAATCTTAATAATGCTAATGAACTTCGAAGCGTCTGTTATATAATGAAATAGTCAAGTATGATTTAACCTTTAAAATACAGTATATTAGCATCAGAATATTTACTACCATGACTTGCGCAACGCAATTTTTAACCGCACATGGTTCGAACTCCTAACCCATTTACGACAAGCGGGGCCCAATCATCCCGTCACAATAAAATAAATCAGTAGAAAATATTTTTACAAGTGAAATTATATAGGGAAGATCAAAGGCGGCGTGATGCGCGGGCGCCGGGTTTTTGTAGTTCCGACGATAACGCCACTTAGCTTTTGAGTGCTTCTCAAATAGCTCAGCTATTTTTAACTCATACTGAATGAGTTGCCGAACACTTTAAGTTATGTATTTTCGATTTTACACAACTTATTCTTGTCTTGTCGAGGTTTCAAAGCGCATCTGTTTAGGAACAGCGGGAAGCACATTTTTTTGGCACCTTTTCTAATCTTACTTTATTCCATTCTTACAACCACTGAGCCACAGAGACACTAAATACTCTTCTACAAAAAGTAATGCACATATGGTAAAATTTACGATTTAAAAAATTATTTTGTGAATGATAAAAAAATACTCGTCTATGTAAATAAGTAGATAATAGATGAATTATTCCGATATATCTCTTAAACGTAATTTAATACAACATAAACCAATTTATCAAATCTTATAACATAGCATACATTATCGAAAACTTCACGCTTTGTAGGTCCTTACGTACGAACGATTTGTATGCGCGTTTAAGCAATTTTAATTTGTAATTGATACATTGTGTTTTATTTCTTTATCTTTGTGTTTCTTCTTTTATTTACATGAATAGACCAATGAAATGGCATTAGACAGGTCACATGCTACGCTGTTAGATAGAAAAATAATACAAACGGGTAACCTTCGGGTCTTCAAGATACACGCTTAAAAAGAAGATGACTTTCACTTAGCCTTAGAACCTTATTGGACTGGGGTAGCTATAGATACAGGGCAATAGAAGAAGATGGAAGAGGTCCATATCAAAAAACATAGCGAACTAAGAGATGTTTTATAATCAGTATAAAATTATTTAAAATGAAAAGGGTATTACCTATTATTATTTCTTATCTGTTATTGAACTACTTTTGTATGTCTTATATTACTCTTAATATGTCAATGATTCTCTTTATCTTGGAAATTTTACTGTAAAACCAATAAGAGCTCAAACGCTAAAACACAAACTCTCGTCAATAAATCACCTAAGTCCATAAAATTGCACTTGATTAGAACTGCCTTACAAATTAGTTACATCATGTCACTGTTTATCTTAACAAAGTATAAATAACAATATGTCAAATTATTTTCACGGCTATCGATTTATGCGGATATAAAAGGTGGTTTTCACTCTAATTATTCATTCTGCCGCAGTTTCCACTGTGGAGGTGAAGGGGTAAGCAACATATAAACTGCTCTCATTTACACACATTACCACGATATACCTATAAAATCCCTTTTTCAGTGGTGCATCCAAAATGGCGTCCATTTATTTAGTCCTGCTCCTAATCTGCGCAGTCGCAAATGGCCAACAGTCACAATACGACGCGGCTTTACGCGCTCTAGCCGATGCCAAAAGGGCTCAAGAAGCCAATGCTCAAAGTCATCAGGCGAACGCCGCTGGCTTCGAAGGTCATAGCGCGGGCGGTGCCCATGGGGCGCAAGGTTTTAGCGGTGCGGGTGGTGCAGCGGGCGCTCAAGGTTTTGGTGCAGGCGGTGCCGGCGGCGCTCAGGGCTATGGCGCGGGCTATGCAGCTGGTTCCCAAGGATTCAACGCCGGAAGATCGAGCGGACCCGGAGCCTACAGTGGCGCTCAAGGCTTTGGCGGTGCAGGTGGCGCGGGTGCTGCTGGAAGCTACGGTGCGGGTAGCGGAGCTGGTGCTCACGGCTATGGCGTGGGTGGTGCCGCACAAGGTTACGACGCAGCTCGATTCAGCAACGCCGAAGCAGCTCAAGGATACGGCGCAGGTGGCGCAGGAGGCGCAGGTGGCGCATCTGGTGCCCACGGTTACGCCGGTCACGGTGGCGCAGAAGCACAAAACGCGGAAAGCGAGGAGGCTAGTAGAAGAGGTTACTTTGCATCGTTAGATGAGAGAGGAAAATACAGGTACAGATACAGAGGCCTGGGTTTTAATAGCTATCCACCTTACGGCTACCCATCTTCCGGCTACCACTATCCGACCTACCCGTATGGTCGTCCTCCATACTACTTTTCTCGCAGCGGTGAGGAAAGTGCTGAAGCCAACGAAGCTGCTGCTGGTTACAGTGGGTCAGCTGCCGCTAACGAAGGTGCGGCTGCTGCCGCTTATGAAGGCGCCGCCGCTCATGAGAGCGCGGCCGCTGCCGCTGCGCAAGCTGCACGTTTGGCTGCTCTTGCGGCGAGTGCTGCTAATGCTGCAAATTACGGTGCAGATGCAAGTCATGCTGGCGCTAGTGGATACTCTAGTGCAGCTGAAGCTGCTCGTGCTGCTCTGGCTGCATCGGCTGCAGCTGGCAACAGTGGAGCTGCTGGTCAAAGTCATGATGGAGCAGCTTCAGCGGCTAGTCGCTCCGGTTCTGGATCTGCTGGGTACAGTGCTTCAGAAGCGGCAGGCGCTTATGGCCATGGTGGTGCGGCAGGACACGGTGGTGCAGCTGGTCATGGTGCTGCAGGATATGGTAGCGCAGCCAATCCCAATGCTGGTCACGATGCACAAAGTGCTGCCGGTTTCGGTGCATCTGGTTACGGTGCTGCAGGATATGGTAATGCAGCCAGTCAAAATGCTGCTGGTCGCGATGCACAAAGTGCTGCCGGTTATGGTGCTGCTGGTCATGGTGCTGCTGGCCATGGTGCTGCAGGATATGGTGCTGCTGCTGGTAATGGTGCTGCGGGATATGGTGGTGCTGCTGGTCATAGTGCTGCAGGATATGGTAGCGCTGCAAACCCTAACGCTGCTGGTCGCAATGCACAAAGTGCTGCTGGTTACGGAGGTGCAGCTGGTCAAGGCGCTGCTGGCTACAGTGGAGCAGCTCAAGGTCACAGCGGTTACGGTGGGGCAGCTGGTCAGGGTGCCGCTGGATTTGGTGGCCAAAACGCTGCTTACGGAGGAGCGCAAGGTCATAGTGGAGCAGCTCACGGTCACAGCGGTTACGGTGGGGCAGCTGGTCAGGGTGCTGCTGGATTTAATGGTCAAAACGCTGCTTACGGAGGAGCGCAAGGTCATAGTGGAGCAGCTCAAGGTCACAGCGGTCATGGTGGAGCAGCTGGTCACGGTGGAGCAGCTGGTCACGGTGGAGCAGCTGGTCACGGTGGAGCAGCTGGTCACGGAGCTGATAGCTATAATGGTGCTGCTAGCCGCAGTGGGGCAAGTGCTGAACAAGGCGCAGCCAATTATAGCGGTGCAGCGGGGCACGGCGCTGCAGGCTTCGGTGGTGCAGCTGGTCAAGGACCCGCAGGATTCGGTAGTGCTGCTGGCCAAAATGCTGCTTATAGTGGGGCCCAGGGCCAAAGCGGAGCAGCTCAAGGTCACAGTGGCGCAGCTCAAGGTCACAGTGGCGCAGCTCAAGGTCACAGTGCGGGCGGGTCAAGGCGCTAGCAGTAATGCTGGCCAAGCCGCTGGTGGCTTCTCAAATGAGTCTCAAGCTGCTAGCGCTTAAGCATACTTAGTTGATAAATTGTATAATCTATGACTTATATTTTGTATCTTTATATTTTTATTATTTTCACAGTTTTAGGCCAATGAGAATATAGGCATTTGTTATGAGGCAAGAGGCAATGTATAGAAAATATATCAAATGTAAGTAATTTAAAATTATTACTATAATCTCTAGTTTGTAAACAAAATAGTATTTTGGGTCCAGTTCATCATTCTCTTTTAAATCCTAGTATTATTTCAGACCTACATTCACTACGGTTGTTAAATTTAAATATTCTAACTAACTAGACATATTAAAAGTTTTCCTTTGTTTCAGATTCCAATATGTGAATTGTCTTCATTACAAACCTCGACGACAATTAACAACCACTTGCCTCATTTACTGCACCACACAAAATTCATAATAATTATATTAATAATGTATATTTTAAATTGTTTTGTATTCTAATATAGTATGTATTTTATATAATATTGTGTTTTTTTTGTAATTTTGTTTCCTTTCTGGGTATGTTAATCAAATTTTAATCTATCTCCCCACAGCAAGGGCGCCAAATCCATTATTGAACGTTATTTTTTAATATAATAATCGTTAAACATTTTGATTTTTGATGACATTTAACTCATCATAGTTGCCTCAAAAACATAATATTACTTTTGAAACGGATAATTGTTGTAAGTTAATATGTGTATTTCGGTGAGATTTTAAAACAAAAGAGTATTCATGTTTTTTTTTCTTGCATGAAAATTCTGTCTACAGATACACATTTCTATTATTTCAGCTACCAGGCCATAAAAAAATAAAAAAATAGAATATATTATTACATTTATACTCTATACCGCAAACCAGCAGCTGTCAAAAACTATCTCGTCAAAAAGTTCATTTTGTTTAGTCTCACGTAATCCTTTACAGCTTATGTAAAAAAAAGTAATAATTAATTATTTTTTCTTCTAAGTCTTTCTACGTTTACAGATTTCGCATACAGTAGTAGTAACATTTTCCAAAGAGCCCTGTGAACGTTCACACCTCCAAACACGACACCGTGTCGGATCGCAGCCGGATCGTGGGAACGACACCGTGTCGGATCGAACACGTGACCGACTTGATGAGTATAGAGGCTCTGAGTGAGTGGGCGAGTCAGCGGGATATGCATGTTAATTTTTACCCATCGCACAAACAGGGTACGCAAATAGACCGATTTCTTATACTTTCAAGGGGGGCCCCCCCCCCCCCCCCCCCCCAAAAAAAAAAAGGGGGGGGGGGGGGGGGGGGGGGGGGGGCCCCCCCCCCCCCCTTTTTTTTTTTTTTTTTTCTAAGAAAAAAAAAACCACCTTTTTTTTTTTATATTTTTTGGGGGCCCCCCCCCCCCCCCGGGGGGGGGCCCCCCCCCCCCCCCAAAAAGGGTTTTTTTTTTTCCCCCCCCCTTCCCCCCCCCGGGGGGGGGGGGGGGGGGGAAAAAAAAAAAAAAAAAAAATTTTTAAAAAAAGCAGCGGTTCCGGGGGGGGAAACGTTTTAAAAAAATCTCCGTTTTTAAAAATTGAAAAGGGGGTTAATAGGGGGGGAAATTAAAAACGGAAGTTTTTAGACAAAGTTTCTCTTATGAGTTTTATTTATGTGTTAAATGTATAAATAAAACTCATCTGGAAATAATTTATAATAATATATTTATATGTTATTTAGTTAAACACGGTTTTAGCACTACAACAATCCTCCAATGAATATTTATATATTTTTGAATCCGAAACTGAAAACTTTAAAAAATGCTGATGTTTACAATCAACGGAGCCGGGATAGTCATTATCTGGTAGTAAGCTATAATAATGGAAGTCTGTAGAAACAGTTACGTAGTTCCATTTCGTCTGCTTTTAAGGAAATTGTCTGAGGTGCGCCCTCTTACCGCTAATTACACTCGTGGACATAATTTTTGGTCAAAAAATTGTAATATTTTTTAAATGCCCTTTTCACAGACCACACTAAAAGTTGGAGAAAAGCACTGTCATAAAAAAACTGTTTGCCTTAAGAATAACAAAAATAAAGAATTACTTATTTGAATTAATCACAAATGTAGCCCCTGTGTTCGAAAGAATTATAAAGAAGTAGAATGATATTCAAATTACTTTAGTGTTATTAATTTTTTACAATATCAAGATTAACTGACGTAAATAATAGCAACTTTAATATATATTAATAAAATTCAAGTCATTATTTAAGAGTCATGAAAGATTTTTAATCCAAAAAGTTTACCAGCTAGTGTACAACAATCACAGCACTAATGCAGCTCCCTCGTGACTCGTAATATTGTTAAAATATACATTTTGTAACGGAATATTGTTTTAATGTAAATTTGTCGAACATTTTTTGGGAGTAAAGTTTACGCTGTCATGACTCAATTAGAAATATAATTTAAATTTATTTAATACCATTTAATGCACATATTTCACCAATCTAGTTTTGGTTCACTGCTAAACGGTATAGTGTCTAAAGCAAGTTATGAATATTTTGACAAAATACAGCAGAGTACTTACAATTTTAGAGTTTTTTTTAAATTATTATTAGACCTGTGTTCTCTAAAGAAAATTTTTAGTGAAAATGTCTTCAAATATACATTTGATAACCTAACTAACTGATAATATTTTAGAGATTTCGTACAAGGAACCACACGAACATAATACCCACTTAACTTTCACCTCGTGCTATTCACTCTGTCAGCGATAAATAACGGTCTTAAATAAATGTCCGTACTTGTTAGCGAAATGTAGCTTCGCGGAACGAATAGTAACTACATAGGAAAACTTTTAAACGAACAATAGAATTAGCAACACAATTCTTCAAATGGATTTTTCTTAGTTAATCTTATTGTTTTTTTTTTATTATCACGTAGGTATCAATATAGAATGTCTTTGTCTAACAACTAACCTTACTCTAAGAATGTATATAGGCTCTTTAATTAATTTTGTGATGAATAAAAAAATAATTACCCCCACGATTTAAGAGTACGATAAAAGTTTTAAACATTATTGATCACAAGGGCTTTTCTTATAATTTATTATTTTGGACGCAATAAATTTATTACAATTTATAATGTACCTTCTTTAGATTTTAAATAATTGTAGACACGAGCGGAACTTGAATCCACGACTACATCGTTTCGTGCTGTTGCACTGACGGGTTTGTGAGTTCGATCCACACAGGGTCCGACATGATTCTGATCAATGTTTAATACAACTTTTCAAAAACATGTTAGGCTTCACCTGGAAAATCTGTATATTAAATGGTAGGGGATATCGAAAGTTGTGTTTGCGTCATGAACCAGCATCTACAGATTAAAAGCCGTAAGGTTTAATCGCGTTTTCCTTTTAGTCTATGGATTTAGGAATATCCAAAGCCAGAATAGCTGGACAACGCATCTTATTGGGATGTCATATGGCTGGACTATCTCACCTTTCACTTGTCTGTCTTCCTCTGTTGTAAAAAAATAAATAAAGAACAACACAAACATAAAAAAAAACAATCTTTAATATGGTAATTTAATTAATGTTAAGTAGATATTATAATAACAGAGACACCGCAAGGGCATAGTGCGGTAATCTTATAATGCAACGCTATAAGCCGATATTTCTGATGTGTGGCCACCCTTGCAGGGGCGGACTATGCCTTTTTTACTTTTTAAATTCCATTATAAATTTTTAATCTATTTGTGTATACAATCAATTATATACAAAAACATTTCTCCTATATTTTACCGATTTTTGGTATGTGTAGTTGGTTTTCTAAAGTTCTAAATGATAAATTGATGCCTATGGCTAAATAAATATGTAATAAATGTCAACAACCACATATAAAATCGATTCTATTAGTAAATTATATTATTATATTATATTTAGATACCGGGAGAGAACACAAAATGATTGTCAAAAATACTAGACAAGTTCGAACAACATAGAAAAAAAAAATATTAAAAAAAAGTATTCCATGTGGCCAGTTAAATTATCGTAGTTAAAACTCGTTGAAAGTGTTTTATTTGTTTACTACTCGCGTAGACTAGGTACAGACAATACTAAACAGACGCGTAGTTGCATTACTTATATACACCCTTGTCGGTGTGTCGCAATACGACCCTGTGTTGTTTACAAGCAATTTCCCTAATGCACAAGATAGCATTGCAACCGCACTGCGCGCACATGGCTGATGGCCGGCTATGAAATATTCATGACTTTGCGCCGGAGTTATTGAAATTATTGGACGGTGCTATACCATAGGGCCGCGTCCATAACTATTCAACGTATTATCACCAAGAAAAATAAACTGTCCGTTAAATATATCTTTTTCTGTAAATAAATATTGTTGTTTTGTAAATCGTATAGATTAAGATTTAAAGAATACCTGTTAGTATTTCTGTGTACCTAAAGCTCATTTCCAAAATTATAGAAATAATATATTCCTTAAAGATATTTTTGTTAATAAAAAAGTACTTATATAATTAAATTTTAGACTAAATTAATATTATGCAACTGTCACAGTATCGAACTACCCATCCCAACATTATCCAGCCGAACATAAAATTACAAGTTAACATTTCGTGTGGGCGCAGTGACAGATTGTTATAAGCTGCGGATTCGAATCCCTGTTTGCACATATCATTAGCACCTATTAACACCCTTCGATTTACTAATCGTCAGATTTATCTTGATTATAAATATTTATACAGCATAGCGTAGTATAAAATGTTATAAATAAATGCATAGTTACTCCTACAACTTACAGGATTCATATAGAAATAATATAGGTGGTATCCTAGACATTGTACGTACCACTTTCAAATCAATAAGTTTATTTTTTGAATATTGAGAGTTAAACTAGGTCGGTACCGCATGTCGCTTATATTATATAGGGACGGAGTAATTCCTTATATGTATAAAGTAAAGTGCATTATTGTCTGTCC